TTTACTCCCACATATACAGACATGTACGTCTAGTAAATACATGTAGTATTATAAATTGGTTTCCCCTTCTCTCCTGTTTCGCTTACTCATCTAACTACAAGAATGACCCCCGACGCTGATTGGGTATACGTATATATACACGTAGATTTACATTCCATCGAATTCAGTTGTTGGAGAAGAAAAGTTTCACATTCCATAAACACATTTAGGTGATTATATTTCAAGATCCAACCTAGGGGGTGCTGATACATGCATGCACGAGACACAGCTTATCACTCGGTTCTAGAAAGAGTTTGCCAAGAATCTCGTTTCATTTAACGGCCGGCTCGGATATCTCGGAACGGCGCTAGGTATTATTTCCTGCCCTGCGATTCCCGTTCTCGTCTTGATAGTCCCTACCTCTTAGATTATGTGTACTAAACCATTCCTCTTTCCGCCATCGTAGCGTCCTGACAAAACTGGTTGAAGAACGGGATGAATGGCATGCCCCTATCATGCATTGGAGCCAGGAGTGCATGGTGTGTACCTGTATGATGCATTTTTAAGGTCACATAAACAAACGTTTCTAGACGATCGCAAAGCTGGCATGCTTGCACAGCTATCCAACATCATCATCTTCTTCATCCATAACACCAGTGTCTCAGGTACTACAGGTGATCTTACTCATCATATTGTCGCTTCCCCTCTTCTTCCCCCCACCCTCACAAAGGAGCAAAAATACTCTAGTAAAAAAAAAAAAAAAAAAAAATACTGATTATGAGACTGCGATGCACAACGTTTGCTTAGATCCATAATTGCTTGTGGGAGGTTGAGTTAAGTTTTGAGCGAGTCAGAGTAATACCATCTGCATAACTCGGAGGACTGCTACTGAGAGCGCTGCCAAGACCATTCAACCCCTGCTGCTGCTCCTCCTACAGTTGTCAACTCCTCCACCACCACCACAAATGTGGTTTGGCTCAGCTTGCAAGTTTACTAGTTTCCTATTCCTGGGACACCCAGATCGCTCTAAACTCTCCGCCCATCTCTCTTCCCCTGTCGCCAGAAGACTTCCAGATCTGTTCCGACTCCGTACTCTTACGCACTGCTCTCTACCCATACGCAGACAGTAGGTACTGTACTGTCGACAAGAAGCAGCAGGAAGCAACTCTCAACCACTCACGCCACTCGTGCACCCCCGTTACAGGGTCAACTAACTCCCACAGCTCCTGTCAACCTCTCTATTGTCTCTCCTTGTTCCGAGTGGGGCCCACCGTCGCGCGCTGTACCTGAATGTGAATTTACGAAACATCCACATTCACCTTCAACCATTTTACACCTCCGAGGGGCACTGCCGACAACAGACAAATCCGCCGGTACTCATCGCTGCCTCTTTAGAGTATGTTAAACGTCATGGGCTCGACAAAGCCGCTGTATCCTTCCTCCTACGATCCCGAACTGCGAAATGGGTCGCCGAGGTATGTCGCGGCGGGTACAAACAGCTGTCCGCCATCTCATATTCTTGAGAAGCACTTCTCGTCACCGTCAGAGGAGTCTCATCCTAGATTCAATGCTGTGAGGATTTACCGTTCTTTTTTGTGTGTTTTTTCACCTTCTTTGCCGTACCCCTTGGCGTACTTTAGATGATGAAAGGGGGTTGGGGGGGGGGTGTGAAGGGGTGGGTTGGGTGGGGCGACTTGATGTCCTATTCTACTTCAATTTAGTTCTTATACCATAGATAAATCTCAGGACTAATAGCAAGGCTTTCGTAACGTCTGCCTTTCAATGATATAGTTAAACAAATCCCGCCCACGCTCCTCCGCACTCTTAAATGTCAATGATCCCATGGCTATGCACCTGCTCGTTGAAACCGCCATTGTCGATTCCAATGTGTACGAAATCCTCTCTTTCGAAGAAGTCGATGAGCTTAAAAAGGAGCACAACTTCCTCACAAATCGCATCGACGCGTCTAAGCGTAAACTCGCCCTGGAATCCAAAGTTCGCGACGCAGCGCTTTCCCTTAGCAGGTTGTACTCTAATAAGAAGGCTCGTGGAAGGAGATCTCTATTGGGCGGGGTAAGTGATGTTACAAAGCATACTGATGAGGAACTTACTGCGAGCAATCGCAAGTGTGAGGACCTGTCTCAGGAGCTCTGGAGGCTCAGTAATCGGGCCATGGAGATTCAGCGCAGGTTGCTACAGCACAGCGCAGGAATACTCGGGATGACCCATCAGAGCTCAATCCAGCAAAGGGCTTATCCCAGCAGCTCGATGCCCCCAGGCTCGCCATCAAGCCAGTACACCCTGGTAAACCGGAATGTAACAAATTCATCTCTCACGGTCGAGTTTGATGACCGGTCTTTCTACAGAACCCCGGACAAGCTTGATGATTTCGGCGGTTATGATAGACGGAGCTCTCATACAAAATTCCCCCAGCTTGATACTGGTGGTGCCTCGCGACGAGGTTCCGCCACTATAGATGACCCGTACCTGGGTCGCCGGTTAGAAGACCTCAATATTCAAGTTAGGAATATCGTACTCCAGTTGACGAGCGCCCAAGGTATTCCTTTACCTCAACATCTTCAGCCCAATGGCTCTATGGGTGGGAGCAGTAGTCTACAAGAGCAACTTACACAACTTGAACAAAGTATAAATTTTATTCAACAACATCCTGCCCCATCACCGGCATCCCCGGGTTCCAACTTCGCTGCACAGGAGCTTGAAAGGACCGACACAATTCTCTCCACCCTCTGGGACATGCTCATACTCGGCGAGGAAGAAGTGCGTTCGCAGAAACGTGCACTTAGACAAGAGGGTCAAAATAACGTACTCGAATATCCCGATAGTGAAGATGAGGAAGACCAGCATGCCGAATATAGTATATCTACTTTCTCCGCAAAGGTCCAGGCACTTTACACTCGTGCGACCACGTTACGGGAAGAACGGACTATGCTCCGGCAACAAAATTCACAACAGCGCTCCCGCTTTGAGGCAGAATCGACCGCATTGAAGGAGAAGCATTCTTCCCGCGAGGATAATCTCAGTCACGAACTTTCTACTCTCAGTAGCCAACTCGATGCAATGTCTAATATTGTTGAGCAACGTGAAAAGGAAATTATGGTAGCTGAAACAAAATCGAAAGCTCTCTCGGACGAACTGGCTATAATCCGGTCAGAGGTAAGACACAGATGAAGCGAAGCTAGGATTTCTCGAGAGGAACTAACAGTCATTATGATACAGTTGGATCAACATCGACGCCTAGAAGCCCACCGACAATCAGATAGCTCGGGCCATGGACAAAGTGACCTTGAAGAAGAACGGCGGGCACGGTTTGAAGCAGAGGAGGCATTGTGCGCACAGCTTAAGGACAAAGAAGAGCTTCTAATGGCTCTTCAAGGTGAATTGGAAGAGGCGCGGGAGGATCGTGATATCATGAAAGTAGAGCTAGATGCACTTACGTCCGAGTCTGATGACCGCCTGAAGAAGCTTGAAACTGAACTTGCCGCTCTTGTTGTAGCAAAATCCGCCGCAGAAGAAGCAGGAAGAAGCGCTCAGTCCGAGCTTGAGGTTAATAAATCCCAAATGTCGAGAATGGACGAGGAAATGCGAGGTTTGGAAGGGAAAGTAGCAGAGCTATCAACAGAGGTTGCTATGCTGAAGGCAGAGCTTGATTCTGCATATGGCTCTAAATCCCAGCGCGCTGCAGAAACTGCCCAAGCTCGTGCTGCTGCCGCTGCGCTCGAAGCCGCAAATAAGGGGCCGCAGACGGTTGACCCAGGTCTACTCCAGGAGGTAGAAGCCCTTGCAACTAAGAACTATGAATTGATGGAAGAGCTTGCACTTCTCAAGGCTACGAAGTCCTCCGGAAATGCAGACCTCGAAAAGAGATGTAAAGTGCTTCAAGCAGAACTCGATGGAATGCTTGCCGATTTTGAAAACTTGACTAAACAGTCCATCGAGAACGAAAATGATCGTATCAAATTAGAAGGGGTCATTGATGGTCTGCGTGACCGGTGTGAAACCTTAGAAACCAGTTTGGCGGACGAGAGAGTCCGGTGGTTAGGAATGCGCACCCCTAGTGCTGATGGAAAGCTCGGTACAGGGCGTTATGGCGATGGTGAAAGCACTAGCACACATGTTCTCAAGACGGAGTTCAAAAAGATGATGCGTGATATGCGGTCCGAGTCTATGAAGACGTTACGGGTAAATATATCTCCACTTCCAGCCGGAAACCCCGTTCGTCACTAATATTTCTTCTGTAACCTAGGCCGAGCAAGAACATAGGCGACACTTGGAACAACAAATCCGTGCCATGAAGCAGGAAGCAATATCACGGCGTGGCACAGTCTCCTCCGCAAAAGCGAGCATATCATGATGACCATGTTGAGCCTATCCATGATTTTCTAATTCATGAATAATGATAGGGTAAATTTCACTAAATAATGTTTTGCACATTGTTTTGCAGGCCATTGTTCCGCGGGGAGGGACAGCGTTTGGATATATTATGGTAAGTACTAATTGATACCCGTAGAAGAGGTAATTTTTGCAAAGGAAGTAAAAAGGGTTGTAGTAGTACTTTATTTACGTTTGGAGATTCCTTTAGACTGGACTCCTGGTTCGACATACCATACTATCTCATGTATGATGAACCTTCTATTGATACTTTCGTTTTCCTTGATTATGCTTAAATCAATCATATTTTGTTTATTGATCTTCCATTTATTTTCACGACTGCCCTCAATAGTATTTCATCTTCCTTTCTTGTAATGTAATTATTTAGATAATAGGCTGTTCATGAGTTTTTGTACTTTTTTTCCAGCTGCGACTATCTTGGACGGAATACAAATGATTTTAGTGGCGATGTTCATTCCCACCACAAAATACCACCTAAGACATATAATTTGAATACACTACTAACACCCTAAAATAATCTACAAAGGAAACCTTTCTGTGTTAAATTTACAAGAATAAAGGAAATTATCCATCCGTTAACGCCTAGCTTCAGAACTAACCGCCCCTAATCTCTAAGAAAGAGCTGCAGTACTGTTAAACGAATTTACTGCGAGTCCAATTTTCTTAAATAGGAATTTCCGCGAAGATTCGTCCTTTGTTGGAATAAATGGACCCTGTCGATTTCCGCGCAATATGAGAACTATTCCGGTTCTTTCCATGCTGATAGTCTGCAAATCCTTGAGTTGGACGTCCCACTCGGTATATAGCTTTTTCGACTTGACAAGCATTATGCGGCTAAGTCATTGCGTTAAAAAGCGTTTCCTGCAATTCATGTATTTGGCACTTACGTATACGTCAATATCACGACAACGTCCTGTTCCGGGAGCTCTAAGTGTGCAATGTACTCCTCGTTGAAATATTTTCCGGTATCCAAATTCTTCAGCCAAAATTGGCCAAGAGCCTCTCGCTGAGAATAAGGTCGAACAACGCCGTCTTGGCCAATATGTCTAGTCAATCGGACACGGTCTAGGCCATCTGCATCAAATACTGTGGTGGTGTTGCGGACTCCTTCAGAAACATCTAGAAGTTCGCGAAGTTAGTAAGTGCAGAGGATTTCAAGGCTGAAAGGGTATCTTATACTTGATGCAAGATCAAATACTCCAATAACAGGTTTAGTAGCAAAGCCGGCCACTCCTTTGCCAATTCCCTTCAAAAATCCGGAAACTCCTTCGCGTTCCGCCCCTTCAAGTGGTTTACGTGCCAGTCCGCCTACCCCACTCGCTAAGCTAGTGATGAATGAATTTGCGCCTTGAGTGACACCATAGAGTGCATGCTTTGGTCGGTTACGTGAACGAGAAATACGTCTGCGATCCTGAAATTGTTTGTCGAAAGTAGCAGCCGAAAGACCTATTTCTTATCAGCTTGGTACATATCAGGTTTTTCAGCATAACTCCTTACCTTTCGAAATACTACCAGTAAATTTAGAGAAGCTGTCAGACACGCCAAATACCGATTTCTTCACAAACATAGTAGCCCCCTTTGCGATTCCGAGACCTAGTTCTTGCGGACGATCTGTCATGATAAATCCCTGGTATGGTTCATAAAATATGTCAATAACACCAGAACTAATGTTGTTGAAAAGGCCCACAGGATTTCCCAAGAAGTCTGCTGAACCCAAAATATTGTGAATTTGGTAAAGAAATTCTTGACTGTAATGTGCCGCGAGCCTTTGCTGTAGAACTGGCATAGAAACCCTGGCGTTTGGAAACATCAATGCCGAGAGTTTTACTGGTGCGTCGTTGACATTTCCAATTGCCATTGTCAAGACATTTAGTACAAACATCAAAGGATTTCGGGAAGTTGTCTTATCCTCAGCATTGACAACCTCGGTTCGCAGCAGTGATAAATCAAGTTGCATGGGTTGAATGCAAAACTGTTCGAAATAGTAGTCCTGGCCGGCACTGACAGTCTTGGGCTCTGGAATTTCCAAATCATCGTCACACAGCTTTCCCTCCTCTCTTTCAGACCAACTTGCGCTGGAGATCTTCGAGAAGTCTAGGAGTGCATAAATGAAGTCTTCGTCAATTTCAACCGTCATTTGTTGCAGCAAAACATTAAACAATTTAATGTAAAGAACACCATATGCTTACTATTGTTAGCCAAAATGCATCTCAAGAGCGTTAAATGAACTTACAATCATCTTTGACCCGAGTTACTTCGAATCGAAGGGATGGATGAGTATCTATCTCTTTGCCCGTCTTAGGCACCACGCTAGGATACATGATGATAGGAAATATTCCCCCATAAAGCTGATTGTCAATTTGAATCCATTTGATAAATAGCGTGATGCTCTGTTGTAGTTTAGACTCGCCGAATTTCAGTTCTAAATCGCGGAAGGTTATGTAGGCCAGTTCTTTCAGCTGCCTATTGATCAATGAAATTCCAATACCAGCAAACCGAATCTGCGCTTGGAAGGTTTCTGTGTTGTCCGCATCTCTGACTTCAAAACCAGTCGCGACGCTACTAGAAGATACATTTGGTTTTGGCTTATACAAACTTTTGGAGGCCTTGTAGTTGGATAGGACAAGAGTCTGAGTAGGACCATCAGCGATGACATTGATCTCGATTGTTTTTCGTAATGGCCGGCCATCTTCGCCTAAAGTATCGCTATCAATCTTGAACGGTATAAGGGTCCCGATTTCTGAGAGGCGGACATGTCTGGAGTGGTTGCGAACTACAAGTACTAACTCCTTATTCCTCGCGGCAGGAAAGTCCCATGCATAGGGCATAATACTTCGGGGCGGCAGCTTGTATAGTATCGGTCGAAAGTTGGTCGGCCTATCTTCATCGTCATCCAGATGAGGGTCGGCTTGAAAGAAAGTAAACTCCTGGTTGCTCTCATTACGCATGGAGTATGGCCAATTGTTCTTCTCTAGACTGATGTGAATGAAAATAGTCGCTTTTTCCTGTAATATATCAACCCTGATAAGAGACTGACGTTGATTCGCCTTATGCATCTTTACATGTGTAGACCCCAAGTCAGATATGTTGAAAGGCGATGACCATCTATTGTTAATGCCGGGAAAGAGGAAAGTAAGTTGCTTTTGTTGAGCAGTCTTCAGAAAATGTAACGGAAGTAACTCTCCGGGTTTTAATGTCATTATTTCGGTCGACCCGGCACCGGGTTCCCGAATTTGAAGATCTTCAGAAAGCTTGCTCCTCAAAATGAATCGTGGGGCGAGCGTCACAACTTTGGTCAAGTTGTACTTTCCCTCTCCTTCGTCCACCGATATACCAACATGGATTTCACTTGTTTTCGAAATCGATGGAAGAACCACATCTGTTACGCTTCCTATAGCCTCGAAACTTTGGGGTCTACTCCAGTTTGAATCTCCAACCCTGAGAACAGCTCGATTCTGGCGCTCATCACTCGGGTACGAAAATAAGAATGGCACTGCTTTTTGAGAAGAACCGGAACCTAATTATGTGAGTATGTAATCCAAAATCGGGGCAATGTGAGTTACCTGTTTGAATTTGTCCGGCAGCTGCTTTCGCTTGTTGCAGCAGTGATTTTGACTTGACCATCATGTTCAAACCTGTTTTGTTGAGAATAACATAATGGCTGTAGACACTAATACGGAAGGCACCCCCACTGTCGGGAATCGGAAGGTAATGAAGTCCTAGCCTCAATTCTAGCCCCTGGTTGTCCTTTGCTACAAGATCGTCCTCTTTAGCTAACTCCGAGTCGTTTGAATTTATTATTGCAAATTCGCTGGCGTTGTAGACAGTATCCTGCATGTCAATGTTCATAAGCAGCAAATGAGAGAGTTCCACCACATGCACCGGACTCAATCCTCCTTTGCGTAAGAAGTTGGTCCATTCCTTCTTTGTATTCCTATCATAAATCCTAAATTTGAAATCGTAAGGAAGCAGATTCTGGACCTCCAATGGTGCGGACAGTCTAATTTTCATATAAGGATAAAGACTATAGCAAATATCAGTACTCAAATTAAAAGTATAAACATAATGTGGAGATTGCTTACTTGGTAATGGGGTTGTTCTTCTGGAAGTTGGCATGCATCTGGAAGTAAAATGGAGGCGCATTGTTACCCTCTTCACTATTACAAGTTATACATCGAGTTTGTTTCTTTAGTAGATTTTTCCAAGCTAGGCGATCCTGCGACCATGTATACCCAAAGCCTGCTTTATTGTAGTTAGTGACACGCTATTACACAATCCAAGTTGCCACATCACTCACCATCTGGTCTTAACACCAACGATTGGTGATATGCTGCCTCGATTGGAGCTGGCTGACTTTCCCCTGGCAAGACCTTGTAGACTCTGACAATATGCTGTCCCTCAGCATCCAACACTCCCAATTCTACGGGAATTTGTGAATTGTTTTCCACTACCAACGGTGATCTAAAAGTGATGTGTTTGATGTTATCCGTTCCAAGGTGAACCTCGCATAGAAGACGATGAAGAATACCATCCTTTGCCGGGCGGAGCGTGTACAATGTTTCACCCTCCTTGTTTACCGGGATTTCAACAAGGCTCTCAAATCCGGAATTCTCAATTCTAATTCCAACTATCCCACTCGATCCTTCAGGACTTAAATTCTTTGTGCTTGTTAGCTCGTCTTCCCTCAGATCACATAGGAAGCTAAGTCTTACCTCGCGCATTTTCTCCCATTCTTCAAATCTCCAGGGTGCTTGTTCTCCGTCGTCAAGCTTGATTGCCATTGATTGGTTTTCAGTAGAATCTGATGCAGCCCAAACATGCAAAGTAAAACCGGTCTGGTTTCGAATGCGGTATGGAGAATCAACCCCACGGGGCTTTGTCAACATATCTTCATCCTGTTGCATGAATTGTGCGGCTTTCGAGGCAAGGGCAATGGTCTGTGAAGTGATGGTGGCTTCAAGAGTCTTTCGTGAGACCAGGTCAATCGAGAACTTCTCCGGATTTGCCATTCGAGACATCTACAAACTTAGTAATAAGGCCCTCGTGAGGGGATAAAGCGACTCACATGAAACCCAAGCTGCCATGGCTCGATCAGAGGCTCCCAAGCTGATTTTGAGAAATTATAAATGTTTACAAATGTCTCTATATTAGTATCGGCATCCATCTAGTTACGATTAGCTGACATTCATAGTTGGATATAACCAGACATGAATGTACTACCTCTCCCGACCAATCCCTAACCCTGGCAGTGAATTTCTTCACACTTAGATCCAATAGAGGCAGCTCGTGTTGATCGCCGATCAATATAACTCTCATACCATTAAACTCTGCAGTCAATTCTTCTCTTTTGACAATGGTTGAACCACCCCCAGTAGGTGCACCTCTTTGTGAAACGTTGCTCCTACTGGTAGTGAATGACTTTGCTCCCTTTTTGACCATGGTTGAAACTCCTCTGCCACTTGGTGTTCTCCGCTTCAGAGATTTGCCTGACCCCTTTAACTGCTTTATCTTTGTCGGTTCTGAAGTTTGAGCCTCAGAGCTTTGTTTGGAAGTAGACATTTCGGAGGCTTTATTGAAAATCTGAGTTGCCAGCAATATATCCCTGAGCGATACCCTGAGGACCAGCGGCTCAACATCGACGCGGATACTCTGAACCGACTGGAATTGACTGAGGGTCCGACTGTCCATAGAGAAGTTTAAGGTGAAGTCATCAAGAATGCGAAGACGACTAGTCTCAAATTTGTCCATTCTGCAAAGGAACATCCCAACTTCTTCAACCTGGAGCGTCAATGCATGTTGTTGAGATAACAAGATCTGTTTCGTGCCGAGAACGATTGCCTCAGAATTAGCGATTGCCGGATTAGCAATGAGGATAACTTGCGAGTCGACGATGTTAACACGAAAGGATATATTGATCCCTTGTTGGGTTTGTGGACTTGGTTTATCGCTCTTTTTTACTGTCTTCGAGGTTTCCATCGACTGTATTTTCCGGTCTGATGGAACCGCGAGCCGCATATTACTCTCGTCCGAATCTTCTTCACTGCCCGAACTCTCCTCAAGAGCTTCAGCCAATGTACCTTCCTCTGTTTCCAATCCAGACATCACATAGTCTCGAACTGCAAATATATAGTCAAGTGCAAAAATGATCCTAGGGCTATCGATTGTAAGGAGTGCAACAAGATTTCTCTCAATTCCACCGGAGAGCGTAAAGCTAGCCATAAACTGGGATCCGTCCTTATTAGTTGAAGACATGAATTTGCGGAATTTGTTGGATTCTTGGCGTCGACTATCCTCAATGTTGAAGGACTCAATCAATAACTCTGACTCGATTGAACCATCGCTGATCATCCTCAATTTAACATGTGTTTTGTTCAATGATGCTCGTGACAAACTTGCTGCTTCGAGGTCCTCGATGGGGCTATTGGGATCAGAGACGAAGAGCTCCAATCCAATGCTGCCAACATCGAAGACCATGTCGAGCTTAGTCCAGGTATCTGACCCAACCCCTAATTCAGGATTCAGATGTACAACTTGATCTGACTTTGAAGACTCTTGATTTTTCTCCGCCATCACTTCTTTAGCCGGCTCTGAAGTTTCGGAAGGCAATTCCTCAATGACATTTTCTTCATCTAGCTCGCCAGCAAACACGGCCGGGATTGACCGAGAAAGCTCCAGGAGAAATTTGAATTGCGTTTGGGTCAATTTCAAGTTGAGATCCGACATACCACTCTCTATCTTTAGGTTTTATTAGTTCGGAGCCCACTATTTATAATTTGAAATCCAATTGCTCACCACTAAGTCTGGCCTTTTTGTGTTCTCAATGTGTTCCATATATGTGACTGCGAATGTGAGGTCCAGTTTATCAAGCAGCTCAAGCAGTTCCTTCCGGCCATCTTCGAAGTGGAGCTCAGATGTAAGCCGAGTTTTCCTGATACCGGCCGAAATTTTATTTACAATTGCTGATTCCTCACTGTCTTCAAGTGGAACGAACTTGTTCTGAGCATAAAGCTCTCCCAAGTATGCTGTCAGAACATCCCGCTCTATACTATCTTTTGTGAGTATCCTGGGGAAAACAATAATCGGTGTTCGAACTATAATGTCAAAATGCATCTTGTCGGCATTTTCTTGCAGTGTACTAGCTTGATTAACAGCAGCCTGTCTAGCCGCATTGAATAGAGCCTGCATCTTCCCAAACTTGACTGCAAACTGAATGATTTTTCGGAATGGTTCCTCCACAAAGTTTATTTTAATTGAACCAGAGCGAAGGTAAACGGATGAATTGTACCCAGGGTACGAGCTCTTCACATCAGGATCGAAAGTTTCATATCGGAAATCAGCAAGCTCCTCTCCTTGAATACTAATTAATTGACGCAATGGCGACGCTTCGCCCGCACCTTCGTTAATGTCGTCAAAAAGGGAGAAGTTTCCAAGACGAGCTCCGACTCGCATAGTTTTCCCCATAAGAAAAATTCCGACATCAGCCTTCGCAAGACTCAACGTAGCTAAACGAATTCCATCATTATTCAAGATGAGTGCAATGCTATCCAAATCAATCTTGACGCGAATTTTGTCGGCCTCGGGAGCAAGTTTAGCCAAAGTCTGATCTACCTGCTCTTCTTTGTCGTCCTTCAGGTCTTCAATTCTTCGGGGTTGGGGTGGTGCAGGTGGTGCACCGGGATTCGTGAACGTTGTAATAATGAAATCAAGAAGGGTGAGAAGTGTTTTTCGTGTTACAACCACATTAATTGTTGAGATAGATACGTCTACATTCGTTTCAATTGCTTCAAAAACGGTCATATACTCTGGTGATTCGCGCTTGACTTTGACGTACTTGACGAAGAATAGTGGGTTGTCATTTTTCTGCTCTTGCATAGCGTCAGAAGTAATTATACGTTTGAAATCCGGTGATGGGTCCTCATCAATCAGATCCTCGACGTTCAATGATTTGAGGACCACTTCCGCTCCCATATCGAATGGCCTAATGTAGAAATCTAAGGCAAAATGTTCTGCAACCAAAAGAACCAACTCTTTGTCTGGACTTTCCCCTTCGGGATCTGCCCTGAAAAGTGATCCCCGTAACTCCCCCACAGTAAACTTGAGTTCAAATGTTCGTTGATGTATGCTTGGCGAATCATCTGGAATCCCGTCTGATGCCTCTTCAAATTGCTCATGCTCGTCATCAGAGTCACTATCATCATCTAATACCAGCTCCTTCTGTGCAGAGAACTGAAAGGCACTTGGACGCCGGAGTTCTGCATATCCTTCGGGTTGAGCTTCCTGAATTTGTGGCTTTGTTGGTTTTTCCAATGTGCTTGGTTCGCTATCATCGAGGTTCGGAATTGCCACGTCAATGATTTTCATTAGGGCTTTATACTTCTTATCTGATAAGGAAGCATGGAGAACCGGAAGATGTCCCGAAAGCCGGAATTTGGTGAGATTCGGTGCTTTTGGAAGGATCGATATCTCAACAGTAAAATCAATATTAATTCGATCAACAATATGAAGATGTTTCCTGTCAGAACCCTTTTGAAGCTGGGCAACAGTTTCTTCGATAGAGGGCCCAATAAGAACCTTAATTTTAAGTTAGTTGGCTTATATAATTTTTGCTGATTATAGTTTTATACGAACCTGCGTTGATTCCAATTTCAAGGAGAACTTGTCGTACATCAATCGCTCAAGCTGAGCAAAGTCTTCGTCATTGTATCTTTGCCTCTGTTTTGATTGTATTTCTTTGATATCGGACTTCTTTACCAGATCACTCGTTATACTGACATGACCGGCGTCAAGGATTAAACAGTTAGCCATTTTTTCAGTACAGCTCTCGGGAATAATAATCAAAGGAGCTTGTAGATCCAGTTTGGCATTAAGTGTTTTGTGCTCTTCCAACGCAAACTCCAGACCAGCCCGTGTTTGTTGTCGAATTCCTTCCACGGTGGCACCAGCAGATTCCATCAGCGCGCCGATACTTTCCATGTGTCGCTCCGGTGGTTTGAAAAACTTGAATATCTCTTCAACAAAACGGGGGTTATATATGATTTCCATGCTCCTCATCTTCATTGTGATTGCAGAGTCAGCACTTTCATCGAGGGGGTTTTGTTCAAACGAAGCCTCGAAGAAAGGAGCTTCCAACTCCTTCTGAAGCTGTTGTTCCGATGTTTGCTCGTCGTCCAATTCTTCGATATGATGTTCCACGGGAGGCGCTGGCTGGTTTTTAATTCTTACGATCTGTGGAAATAGAGAACCTGGGGTTGTGCCATCATAAACTCTGAGGCCCCCAAGACTAAGCTCCCCATAGAAGGAATCCGGGCGCTGCAATACCCTCGACTGAAAAGCGTCAAAAAGCAGAGACAGAATCTCCGTTCCTTTCCCGTGTGGATCTCTTTTGAGGGTAAAACTTCCCGTCCTTAAACTCGCCTCGATCTGCATTTTAATTGTTTCACGAGGAAGGTCAATAGACTCCGCAATGATCTTTTTCTCGTCCCAATCAATAGCATCGTATAATTCCTTGCGCTGTTGCTCCGTCATGACTTCACTAGAACCGTGTTCCTCCTCTTTTTTGGGGGCCGACCCCCACACCCATGCCACCCAGCCCTGCGGTTTCTGCTGTTCCTCGGGTTTCTTTACCAACGCCCTTTCTTTCCTAAGCTGGTTCCTGGCTAGTGAACGATAGAACCTTAAATCTTGGTAGGACAGTTTCCATTCCAGCTTTTTTAACTCCTCCTCCTCGTCCAGATCTAGTAGGTCTTCTTTCTTTTGCTTCTTGAAAAGTTCAATATAGCGTTTCCTATCATCCCGTCTCTCCCTAAAGTAGTCCCACGACCACTGTCTGTTCTTCTCATGAATCTGAGCCAGTACAGCGTCTGTGGCAAACTTTAACCAGGCCCTTGGATTTTCCTTTGGTGTAACGCCCTTGGGCTGGTATTTCTTGTACTGTTGGTGACGAATGTAAAAATGGAAGAGATCGACCATCATAAGAACATCTCGATATTGATCCTCGTCAAGAATGAATCCAATCTCATCAAATATCAATTGAGCTTTCAATTTGGGCCTGTCTGGTTTACCGGTTTTACTCATCTCAATACGGCCCTCCCCGCTCACTGGTTTCAAAACAAACTGATGATCTTCTGGAATGTGATCGCCACTAGCGATAAGTCCTTTGAACGCCTCTATTATTTCGTCATGAGTTTTAGGCTTTTTGCCGCCGCGAAAATGTTCTGCATCGGTATTCCAATAAACAGCGAGCGACCCAAGTTTAGCAAGTTTGTGGGTTACTGGGGCATCGTCTTGAACGTAGCTTGGCTCCCAGTGTTCATTTGTAGATACGGCGGAAAACTCTTCGAGAGTAAATCCAAGCGCGAACGGATGCTACTAGGCTTAGCTTCTTACACTACTAATACGGTGCATTACTAACTCACCCCCGGAGTACTAATGGAATCTTCATATCTTATATGAATATTCCTGACTGTGATTTGCAAATTGTCCAAAATCTGCACCTCGGAATATTAGCAGACTAGCCTCACCTTGTGAAGATATATTTATAGTTGCCTTGGTTATCAAACTGTTGGTAAAACTAGAATTCTTTTGTTGCTCCTCATCAGACATTCCTTCAGTACTTCGTTCTTGCAGAAGTTCTGCGTTCCGAAGTTTTTCCTGTTTTACGGCTTGTTGTCTACGTTCCTCTTCCTCTTCGTCATACTGCTCACAGAGGGGACATGGTTCACGGTCAGAAAAACATATCCTAGTCCGGGGGGGCAGAAACACCACCAAAGAATGAAATAAATGCGAACACACCTCCTGGTCGGCCTTTGGGGCTGCTAGTAAGTACACATCCTCGATGATTACTTTAACCGGCTTCCCTTTGAGGTTATTCCATGGGATTCTAAAAGGATAGCATGAGTTACTCGAGTTCAATGGCTGTAGAATGATCCACCTACTGTAAAGTCAATTGCCCTAGATGACCTTCTGATACGTTAAGAGGCAGCTTCATTTGATCTAAGGCCTCCTTTTTCAACTCCAGGTTCCGTAACTTCACATCCCCGCTACCAAAATCATCAGATACATTAAGTTTACTTTGGGTTGAGTTAAATACCTCCATATTCCTACGTTCAGCTGTTTACTATCAAAGTTTTTGATGTACCTATACATTATAAGCATACGCAACACCAACAGTCGAACAACGGGCATCATACATCCCCAGGAATCGGTTCATCAACGTTGCGATCTAATCAATATTCGTAAGCGGGTAGGCTCAACACAAGTTAAAGAGGTCTTTCGAAGGTCAACATACCAGTCCTTCCAACATGATTGCTGAAGTTCCTGAAACTAAAGCTAGAAATGGAGTTTGGTCGTAGTTCTCGTATGATCACCCGATAGACAGCCTCGGATGGTGTTGCAAGCGCTCTGTTAGTCGTATTTTTAGCCGCTCTGGTGTCCTGCGCTGTGGTTGTAGTGAAAGTTTATTCTATGTTATGAGATTGGCAAACGCTTCGCTAACACCCTCAGCTAGCTGGGGTATTTCGATATTTCAGGTTGAATGACAAGAGGGCGGTGATGGTGACTGTGAATCTGAGTGGGAACTGAAAGCGATGGGCGTTAATTTACCAACCCCCGCTATGCATACCAGAACGCAGACACCTACAATCCCAATGACGTGTGCGATACAAGTATACCCATGCACCCTGGCTCTTTAGTGGCGATGTGCCAAGAAAGCTCTCATGTCAACCCCACGATTACCTTATCAGATTGGTTCAAACGAAAAAACTATAGATTAAAAACTTCGTGTACATATATCTTTGTAGTACGCCAATGATCATAATAAATACCCGAGATATGCGGGCGCAGTGCTAATCTATGACATGACCACTTTATCCTTCATTCACACAATTTCGAGTGATCTACGATGATCCATGGTAAGTGGAGTACTGATAACCTGAATATCTAGGGTATCACATGTACCCGGGGTACTTATGTTCAGGGTACGTTACCTGTCGGTCCTTAACTTTTGTTCGATTTGCTATGACGTTGACAACGGATTGCTCAATGCCATGAGATGACGTCACAATGAGTATATCAACAACTGCTCTACATGTATCAACCCAAAGGCACTTTATGTAAGGTTTCGTTTATTGCCGGACCTCCTTTGTAAAATTCTTCAACATCAGGACAATGTTTCGCATAGTTTCTCCACGTCGTATCTCGCCTCCACGTTCTTTAGCAGGGCTACGCAGCCTACATTCGTTCAGTAATAATGTCAAACCTCGTCTCAAGGCTCCTCAACTACAATCATATCCAGAACAGGGGCCCGTGACCCTGTACTTTTCGCACACTGGGAGGGTCTCAAAGTCGTTTTTTTCAAGTACTCCATTGAATTTAATCAAAATCGAGAAGAGATCAAAGATCGAAGCAGAGAGAGAGAATGCCTTGCAGCAAAAACTAGAATCCAATCCCGAGAAAGTCACAACCACGAGTAGCATGACCCCTATATTCGATCCTAAGCCCCGGAATACAGAAACGCATAACGAATCAGGAGATGAGCCGGATATGCTTCGCGGATTGAAATCCGACCTTGTGGGTCCCTTAATTTATATTTAGTGGATACGAATACTAATCATATTTTATAGAGGACAGTTAAGGAAACATTCCAATTAAATGAGGTACCAAAGGAGGTCCTATACATCGGTTTTGGTGGCTTAGTCCCATATCTCGGAACATCTCTATCAACGCTTTACCTTGCATGGGATATAAACTATTCGCAGGAAAATGGCATTGGATATTTAATCAGCGAAGAAACGGCGGGGCACCTTCTCCACATTTTGGAACCATTACAGGTTGGACTAGGTGCCGTTATTTTATCGTTTTTGGGCGCTGTTCACTGGGGGTTAGAGATGGCAGAGTATGGCGGCAAACACTCTTATAAACGTTATTTGCTGAGTATTCTAGCGCCGGTAATTGCTTGGCCAACAGTAAGTTAAGCACTGATCTATGTCACGGCTTTTAGACCAATATTTAACCAGTCTTTCTATAACAGTTATTACTGCCTGTCAATATAGCTTTGATTGCTCAATTCGTTGGGTTTACCGGGATGTATTTCGCAGATTCGACAGCAACAAGTAAAGGGTGGGCACCAAGGTGGTATATGACCTATAGATTCTTATTAACATTCGTTGTGGGTGCATCTATCGTGATGACCTTGGTTGGGCGTGGTCAGGTAAACGAACCTGTGCTCTTGCTATTTGTTTTGGTACATTTAATAACAACTTTTGTAGATCGGGGATAGAGTCTCAAAACTTCCGGGTCCTGCGGCCTATCTTCAGGACCTGCGTGATTCCCAATGGGAAAATCTGCAAAAGGAAGAAAACGAACGTAAAATGAGAGTTGTAAGAGAGAAGATGGAAGAGGCGGAGGCGCAGAAAGAGCGGGACGCCGCCGATGAGGAAGAAAACGACGCTAACGAAGACGACAAAGACGGCAAAGACGATAAAGATGATAAAGACGACGAAGACGGCGATGATAGTTCGAAGAAGGAAAACAGAAATGATACCAAGAAAGGATCTGGAAAAGAGCAAAGGAGTGAAGGAAAAAGTAAAGATAAAAAAGCGAAGGATGAGAAATCCTAGAATAATTGGGTACATGCGAACGATATGAACGAAGATGGGAATTTAGCGATCGACTGGAATTTAAGCATACATGTATGTATAAGAAGTGAGAATGGTTCAGTAAATGATTTAATCATGGTTGTACCAACTTTATAACTACAGTACCAAAAAAGCGGGTGGATCCAGTACCATATCTGGCAAAATACCGTAGGGTTACGGTATTGTTACGGTATTGCTACGGTATAATAGTTAGGATTCCGATTTAATTCACAATTCCGTATTGGTACAGTACCTATTACATCCTCTTTTTTCGTACGGTACAACTGCAAGTAGGGAAAGTGTGCATACATGTTATGTACCTAAGTACATGTAGCCATAGTCTCTTCTTCTTAGCCTGAGCATCTCCATTCTTCGAGTTCTCTTATGAAGGGAGTTGGGTAAAACACATGGATCTACTACACAAACTTCTATACACATGCGGTACATACCACAAATATCGTAAATGACTACCTAGATTAACCTACATGTACTGTACCCACCCATATACGGCCCCAGCCCATCATTGCATATACTGACCGCTTGCCAAACTTATGTAAATACATGTATCATTCATGGCGGCCAGAAACGGGTTACCATTTCTTGGCACTTATATTAAGCGGTTTTTGGAAGACCGGGACTCGAGTGATGGGGTATGTAGGATAGCATAATAGTGATGCATCACGTGACCGGCCTTGGCAGATTCTCATGAGTGTACTTGACTGCGGGAAGCAGTAAAAAAATAATCATTAGGGTAGGCTCAAATAAGGCAAATATCACCGTTTTGGGTAGTATATTGCTTATTCTAATTTCAAGTCTCTAACGACGAACTCCAGCGATTAAGCATTAGTTCACAAAAGGCTTACGCGGTGTATGATCGCTTATTTCAATATAAGGTATCTTTGAAAATAATGACTATATAATCTTTAATCGTGAAGTATTCTTTTACATTAATATACGTTATCTTAGCCTTACGGGTAAATAAGATTTTACAAAAATAAGCGTTATTTAAGATTTAATTTCATATATACCTCTCTATTAAATAACGATCAATACCTCGGCATGATTATTGGTGGATATGTATTATATTAGAGCACGTATTTATATTATTACTAAGCAATTACTAATCGTACAGTACAGTGCTTTTTTTAGTGCACCCCAACCCCCTATTGATTGCGCACCACACCCCTCCTTAGTGCACCCCTATTGCGCACCACACCCCTCCTTAGTGCACCCCTATTGCGCACCACACCCTCCTTAGTGCACCCCTTTTAGCATAAATCAGCAGAACCTAACGTCCCAATTGCACCACCAAAAGCGCCTATCTAAAGACGATTCTGACGGGTCAAAAGGCAGAATATAGAGGCGTTTTGACGATACAGCGGGTAGCCCGTATACTGCTCTCCGATTGGTTGATTTGAGCACCGGAATCGATGATATTGGGTCTAATTTTCCGGTGTCGTCATATATCTGCACGTGTACGAATAGGCGCTCGATTTGGTGCAATTTGTGGGTGAAGATATACTCGATTTGGCCTACCAGTGGAGGTGTATCGCCCTGATTTGGTGCTCTTAGGGTAATATATGTGCCTTTGGTAAACCCTATACGTTTCTGCTCTGTAGGATCGACAAAGGTGAATCGCTGGTAGTAAGCATACGGTTTAGCACCCAAATCGACGATATTTGGGCGCAAATAGTCCCTTTTGTACGCTAATCGGAGAATATCGTCAAAGACGCCAGAAGCACGTGATTTGGTAGGTAAAAGGGCGGTGTTTCTGACGTAATTGGCGGGAACTCGACCCAAAACCCTGGGATTGACGTGATTTGGTGCTGATTCTACCCCTGTTTCTGCTTCCTCTATATCACGGGGACTATAGGCGATAGACTGTGGTGCCAAGGAATACAACCTAGGTAGTGACGTAGACGTGGACGTAGACGTAAAGGTATACTTTGACTATGGACTATGGGTGGCTCTACCTGGTATGATAAACCGGTTGGAGCCCTATGACGTAGTGCGAACAAAGAATAGTATTCGTGGAATAAAATACAGAGGTTGCGTAAAGAAGAAAGAGAAGAAGGAAAACAGACAAAAGCACAAGACAACGCCCCCTTATATATCCATCCATAATCCAACGATGACTAATACCTTCGCGTAACAGAAACCCAAAGAACATAACAGAAATCCCCATTACAAATCCTAATTCCACTGCACGATACCTCCTTCCCTCATCTCAGTTCATCACCTAGCCGAAATACGTAGCTGCCGTTACAGACCACGCCCCCCTCTAAGGCCTACCTCCTGGTAGGCTTAGGCTTCCCTGGATAACGCTCATGGAATCGTTTAACGATATCAGGTGAATGCTCAAGGTCCGATAGTGGTTGCCAGGAGGCTTCATCATATCCCATATATCGTACCAAATACTCAAATCTTCCTCTTCGTTTCCTCGAATCCAAGATATCCTCGACCTCCCATTCTTCCTCTCCTTCGATTTCAACCGGAGGTGGTGGCAACTGTTGTTGTCCCGGTAAAGGATCATTCGCATCGGGTGACAATAGCGAAACATGAAATACTGGATGAATTTTCATTGACCGGGGAAGTTCCAACTCGTAGGCATAGGGATTGACAATGCGCTTAACGTTATAAGGTCCAATACGTTTCCAGTCGAATTTCTTGGAAGGTCGTTTTGTTAGAATATGACGGGTCGATAGGAAAACTTTATCTCCTAAATGGTATCGAGGAGCTGGGGTCCGATTCCTATTGGCTGATTCTTCCTGTATTCTTTGTGCCCGAAACATCTCATTCCGTAAGAAGTCGATGATATTCTTCATTTCTCGCGCAATGCTATTAGCTTGATCTTCCGCCTTCGTTCTACCATGTTCCAAAGGCCCAAATGTTATCCTAGGATTTCTTCCCGAATTAGCATAAAAGGGGGAAACTTTTGTTGTTTCGGAAATGTGGTTGTTGGTTGCAAATTCAGCCATCGGTAGCCATCGGACCCAATCGTCTTGTTGATAGGAAACATAGCTTCGGAGGTATTGTTCCATTATGGCATTGATTCTTTCTGTCTGTCCATCTGTTTGGGGGTGGAATGCAGTAGAGAACTTTGGCGAGATTTCCAGTCGATCACAAAGAGACCTCCAGAATTCCGCGACGAACTGTGTTCCTCGATCGGATACCATAGTGTCGGGTAATCCATGTAGCTTCCAGACGTTATCAATATATAGCCTTGCTACTTCCTGTGAGTCCGCCTCCTTTGTCGTTGGTATCAGATGCCGCATTTTGGTTAGTCTATCCACCACGACCAAAATCGCATTATACCCATCGCTCTCAGGAAGATCAGTCACAAAGTCCATCGAGACATCTGTCCAGGGTCCATCGGGAATTGGCATGGGGCGAAGTACTCCATAAGGTGCATTGTGTGATGCCTTGCTACGGGTGCACACATTGCAATTCCTAATATACTGATCGACAAACTTCCGCATCTGTGGCCAGTAATATTCTCGACTTAGGAGCTCCAGAGTCTTCGCTCTACCCGGATGTCCTGCAGATGGTTTGTCATGATATTCTTTTAAAAGCCTTAGTCGAAGGTCATCGTCGTCTGGTACATATAGCATGCCTCGATAAATCAGCCGACCGTTGTTATCTTCCATACATTCAGCAAGTGAGATTTTGTTTGAGTGGCGTGTGCCATTCCGAAGCATATTGAGGACCTTGTTTGGGAAACTATCCACTTGGTAAGCTTTTGAAAATAACTCCTCTACAGTGGACGCTCCTTCAGCGGATTCATTTGACAAAGAACCCGCGAACAAACTTAGCTTGGTATCCAAATTTTTTCGCTTCAGAATCACTTGACTCTGATGCGTTAACCGTTCATCCCCCTCTTTAGGTAGGTCACCTGACCTCCTAGTCAATGCATCTGGTTTTGTTCCTTGTTTTCCTGGCCGAAATTGTATAACGAAATCGAAGCGTGAAAGAAATTCGGACCAACGGGCTTGTCGACGATTTAACAATTTTGTTGTCATAAAATACTCAAGATTCCGATGGTCGCTAAGAACTTCAATTGGAAATTGAGCTCCCTCCAGATGATGTCGCCATTCTTCAAAACATCGTATAATTGCTAAAAGTTCTTTGTCATAGATTTCGTAGTTGCATTCTGCGGGAGAGTGTTTCTTAGAAAAGAAAGCAACTGGATGTAGGATTCCTTCGTTGTCACGTTGAGATAGGATTCCTGCTGAAACATAGTCGGATGCATCAGTTTCTATCACAATTTTTCGATCTGGATTAAAATGAGCTAGTATCGGTGCCGTTGTAAACATCTTTTTCAAAGTCTGAAATGCTTCCTCCCTTTCATCCGTCCATTCAAATTTAACATTTTTCTTTGTCAAGGCTGTAAGAGGGGCAACAATTTTCGAATATCCCAAAATAAACCGTCGGTAGAAATTTGCAAATCCTAGGAATACTTGAACATCACGAAGGTTTGTCGGTGTAGTCCATTCCAAAACATCGATAACTTTCTTTGGATCCATTCTATTCCCATTTGGAGTAAGGATTAAACCAAGATATTTTGTTTCCTGAACCATAAATTCACATTTTTCAGGTTTAAGGTGAACATGATTTTCATCAAGTACCTTTAGAACCTTCTGAATATGTTCTTTATGTTCTGATAGGGTCTCGGAATAGATAAGGATATCGTCTAAGTATGCTGTTACGAATTGATCGAGGTAGGGACGTAGAATATCATTGATCCAATGCTGAAATGTGGCAGGGGCATTAGCTAATCCAAACGGCATTACTGTATATTCGAAATGTCCATATCGAGTCCGGAATGCTGTTTTCCATTCATCTCCTTCCGCTATCCTGATTTGATTATATCCCCATCGTAAATCCAACTTAGTGTAGTATTGTGCTCTTGACAACTTAGCCAGGGTTTCTTTCAACAATGGTAATGGATATCGATTTTTGATTGTAATCGCATTTAGGCCTCG